TTGTTCCTGCTTGGTCTGTCAGTGTTCTTAATGGTTGCAATAAAGAAATTTTCAATACTGCAAAGGTTAATAGTCAAACCTCAATAATGGTGAAAAAGAGCGATGATAAAAGTTCTACTAAGCTCACTTGGGAATGGAAAATGGAGCCAAAGAAAGACACCATGCATGGAAAGGGAAATATTAAAGCACACCAGCTTTTGGAGCAGAAAGAACTAACATTGGATGCTAGTGACTATTTATGGTACATGACTAGTGTTGATATCAACGACACTTCTATTTGGAGCAATGCAACTCTTCGTGTGTACACTATGGGTCATACACTTCATGGTTATGTTAATAGGAGGTATATAGGATACCAATTTAGCCAATGGGGAAACAAATTCACTTATGAAAAAAAAATTTCTTTGAAGAATGGAACAAACATTATAACTTTGTTGAGTGCCACCGTTGGGCTTGCAAATTATGGTGCTTGGTTTTGATGAGATAAAAAATGGCATACCAGGTGGTCCTGTTCAGTTGATTGGAAATAATAATGTGACTATGGATTTGTCAACCAACCCTTGGTCTTATAAGGTTGGTTTAAATGGTGAGAGAAAACATCTATATGATTTGCAACCACACGTAAGTGTGTCATGGAACAATAATTCATCTTATATTCCTATCGGAAAGCCCATGACTTGGTATAAGTCTGAGTTTTAAATCTCCTTTGGGAACAAACCCTGTTGTGGTTGACCTGCAAGGATTAGGTAAAGGCCATGCCTGGGTGAATGGCCATAGCATTGGTCGTTATTGGCCTTCTATGATTACAGATGCAAATGGATGCAGCAACACATGTGATTATCGTGGGAACTATGTAAAGGAAAAATGCAACACCAATTGCGGAAGTCCATCACAAAGGTGGTACCATGTGCCAAGGTCATTCTTGAACGATCACATGAACACATTGGTTTTGTTTGAAGAAATTGGTGGAGAATCCTCAAAGTGTTCAATTCCAAACCGTAACAACGGGAACTATTTGTGCTAACGTATATGAAGGTTCCCAATTAGAACTATCATGCCAAAATGGACAAGTAATCTCACAAATACAATTTGCTAGTTTTGGAAATCCAGAAGGTCAATGTGGATCTTTTAAAATAGGTTCATGGGAAGCTACAAATAGTCAAGATGTTTTGGAAGTTGCATGCATAGGAAAAACTAATTGTGGATTTACAGTGACAAAAGAAGTGTTTGGTGTAACGCTTAGCACAATGAGCGTTAATAATAATAATAATAATAATAATATAGCTAGATTAGCCGTCCAAGTGACATGTTAAGTTAATTTTTTAAAATCATTAGATAAAATTGAATGTTATGGTGTTGCAATTGAAATTGTATAATGAATTATTTTCATTTATCTGTACTGTTACATTGATATAATTTATTTTGTTTGAATTAAATATAATTGTTCTATTTTTAATCTTTTATATAAATCACATGATCTAAACTTAAAGATACAAACTTGAGATGATAAAATTACACTCCCCAAATAAATTAAACAAATAAAGATGCAAACTTAATGCAATATGAGTATGTAAACTTGAAAAATTTAACCCACGTGAAAAATTAATATATTATGATATATAAAATATATAATGTAAATTTCTATCTAGAATTGTTAAAAAATATTACATTTAAATTAAGAAATTGATAGTGAAAAATGTTAAAGTATGAAGGATAAATTAATTTATTAAAATAAAAAAAAATGTAAGGGCATAAAAACGTTTATAAAGATACATTTAACAACTCTTGCTAAAATAAATTTAACACTTATTAGTTAATTGTAATTAATATCCTCATTAGTTAAAAAATATTTTTTGACTAAATCAACAAAATAAACAAGAGCACTAAAAATAACCATACTTCAAACAAGAATGAATCACAAAAATGAATGAAAAAAGGACAAAAAATTACTTAGTTATTATCGCTTGTTTTTGTTTAGGAATCGAGATATGACATAGATCCCTAAACACCTACTTCATTTTGATTCGCTAACACCTTCTTGGTTTATAAGCTTTATCTCCTTCCTTAGTATATAAGAGTCTTCAGTGTGAGGCCCCTTGACTTTGTTGAATTTGAACCATCTGCTAGGCTCCGGCCCCATGACATTTGGCTTAGGAGTAGGAAATTGTGAAATGTCTTGCATGTGAAGTATCTCTCACCACATCTACTCACAACGGGTGTTCAGAGGTGTGAAGATCTCTACAAACTTTCTGCTTTGCTCCAACATTGTCTTATCTCTGATGGGCGAGGTGTAGTGATTCTTCTATGACTGTTGTGAGCTATCAGAATTACTAGAGTTACATTATTTTGCATTTATAGAATTACTTTTATACATTGCTTTCCTTTCCGATTATATAACACCCCGCACATGTTTCCACCTCATCCAGTGAAGCTATGGACTTTGGGCGAGGGATTCATTAAAATATCCCACTAGAACCCATTTTGGAATGCTCATACAAATTTTTCCTAGTTGGGGTCGGCAACCTTGATCGTAGCCTCATTAAAGAAGGCAAGGTACTTCCTCAGATTCATAAGGGATTTGACTAATGTTAAAAAGGCTAGTGGTGTTATCTTTTTGTGTCTGCATGTTGCAAACTGGTGGAATAATTTTTTACTAAGTCTTGATAGCTAGTGACAGAGAAGAAAGGTAGGCCCATGTACCATATTAGGAATGCATCTCTGAAGGTGCTAATGAGGAGCGTACATTTCAAAGAATCAGGAGCTCCAATGAATTCCATTTACATGTTGTTGGAGGAGAGATGCTCATACGAGTCGATGCGCCCATCAAACTTTGCCAACGAAAAAAAGTTTGAAATTCTATAGCACCGAAGCCTCCCATATTTAATCTGAGAGAGATTGGGGGTCTAATATTTCAACCTTTTTTGTAAGGCTAGCCTCATATTGGACTTGTTAGATATGGAGGATATTATCCTCCAAAGTATGATTCTGGCAGCGTAAGTAATCATCAACAACATACATCTCTACCACTAAGCTCTTCTCGACATCTAATTCATCGTTGGTCACAAATGTTTTCCCCCTGTTCCCCATGATGTACAGAGGGCATATACACGAGGACAACAATCTAGCTAAAAGTTATGATGGTAGCCTAGGTAAGTTTTTGGGGCCTCACAATAAATGCCAACACCACTTGCTAAAATTATAATTTACAACACCATGTGATTAAGGGTTTTCAAAGGATTTTAAGGTTTGATGTGAGGTTTAGAGTTATCTCAAGCTGGGAGGTGAGAATCTATTTATGAGATATCTGCATAATGAAATTCATCCTCCTCAACATTAGTATTTAGTTATTTAAAGATATCCTGAGGCCTGAACCTCAGATTCCCAAGAAGTAGAAATAACTTTAAGTATTATGGGGAAGGGACAATTACTTCCTTATCATATAGGAGAATGTGATAAACTTGCTCTATACTCCTTCCTCGCAACATTACGTGCTAGGGCACGTCACTTCACATTTTTCCACGCTTCAGACAAGCCTTCTAGAAAATGGATGTCATATTTGAGAAATGAGCATCACATCTGAAAAATGGATGCTTTATCCAATAAATGGGTGATCAGAAGAATGGTGTTGGTGACGTGTAACTCTGTTCACCTTCCACGTTGCCCCTTGTGAGTCTTTTGTAATTATACCAATATATATATATATATATATATATATATATATATATATATATATATATATATATATATATATATATATATATATATATATATATATATATATATATATATATATATATATATATATATATATATATATATATGTAATTAAAATTGATAATATAAATCTAGGTTAATATTGATTATTAAAATATTATTATATTATTAATAATTTTTAAATAATAAAAAGTGTGTATAATTTTATCACAATGTTGATTCTATATAATTTATAAAATTAAATATATTATTAGAGATTATAAAAATATGTTTTTATTTTATTTTTAAATTATCTATAATCTTTTTCATATAAGCGTTTTTAAAATTTACATATAATATTAAACATATCCATATTTATTTTTCAAAAAAATAGCGAGCCCATCACCATATTGTGGCGAATCTTTTAATTTTTTTTAATGAAAATGATACTTTATCTTCAATATCATTCCAAAACTGAAACATGACGTTGTTGAAAAAATTCTACAAATTGGTTTCAATAACTTTTTAGTAATATTTTTTTTATGTACTATATTTTCAATTTACAATTGAGTTAAATAAAAATTGATGCACATAAACTTGCTATTATATTTATTAAATATAGTAGGTATCAATATATTATATATCTAGTTTTATATATTGTACACATCAAACACAAAACATACTTAGACCTTATCAAGCTAACAACAAACTCTTTTATCCTATTTGTCCATAATATTGCAAATACCAACCGATATTAAAAGGTTTGTGTTCAATATTTACATAGAAATTATCCATTCGCAGTGAAGTTATTATTATAATGAATTAAAATAACTTTTGTAAAAAAATAAATAAGAAAATTTGGTTACACTGGGAAATCATATTTTATGATTCATATATTTTACGATTAGTTTTAATATTCATGTGCGTTATATAAATCTCCATCACCAGAACAACTAATGAAGAATGATTTCATTATTTTTAAAGTAAGATATATTTACATCTTAATCCAACTAATAAGATAAATAAGAATAAATGTATGAGAGTTTAGTTAAAGTAATTTACCATATTTAGCGAGTACTTATCTGTTCTTACGTGCATTGTTGTTGTGACCAATTCACATAATATACAATACGAATTTAAAAATAATTATCTAATTTAAGTATTGATTAGTTATTTCCACTAAACTATGTTCATCTATATAAATACCTTGCTCAATTTTAATGTTACAATAACAAAGTAGAAAATAATCATACATGTTTATAATGAGTTCTTTATCGTGTGCTAGCATTTTATTAATGATGCTTATTATGTTGTACTCATGTTCTGCCATAGATGTCACTTATGATTCAAATGCTCTCATCATCAATGGAGAAAGACGTCTTATTTTTTCAGGAGCAATCCATTATCCTAGAAGCACCGTGGAGATGTGGCCCGACCTTATTCAAAAGGCTAAAGATGGTGGCCTGGATGCAATTGAAACTTATATATTTTGGAATCGTCACGAACCTGTTAGAGGTGAATATAATTTCTCTGAAAATTTGGATTTCATCAAGTTTTTTAAGCTTATCCAGGAAGCTGGACTATATGTCATCATGAGGATTGGCCCTTATGTATGTGCGGAATGGAACTATGGAGGGTTCCCGTTGTGGCTTCACAATATTCCAGGGATCGAGTTAAGAACCGATAATCCAATTTACAAGAACGAAATGCAAATTTTTACCACAAAAATTGTGAACATGACAAAAGAAGCAAACTTGTTTGCATCACAAGGTGGACCCATTATTCTAGCTCAAATTGAGAATGAATATGGAGATATCATGTGGAATTACAAAGATGCTGGAAAGGCATATGTAAAATGGTGTGCTCAAATGGCTCTATCACAAAATATCGGTGTTCCATGGATCATGTGTCAACAACCTGATGCTCCTCAACCTATCATAAATACTTGCAATGGATATTATTGTCGTAATTTTAAACCCAATAACCCAAAAAGTCCTAAAATGTTCACTGAAAATTGGATTGGTTGGTTTCAAAAATGGGGGGAAAGGGTTCCCCATAGAAGTGCTGAAGATTCAGCTTACTCTGTTGCACGCTTTTTTCAAGATGGTGGTGTATTAAACAATTACTACATGTACCATGGAGGAACCAACTTTGGACGCACATCAGGTGGACCGTATATAACCACGTCGTATGACTATGATGCCCCAATTGACGAGTATGGGAATTTGAACCAGCCAAAATGGGGACATCTTAAGCATCTTCATTCAGCAATAAAATTAGGTGAAAATGTTCTTACAAGTTATAGTGCAAGGAACGACACGGATCTTGGTAATGGAATCACACTAACAACATACACTAATTCCACTGGAGCTAGATTTTGTTTCTTGAGTAATAATGACGCTAATAAAGATGCAAATATTGACTTACACAGTGATGGTAAATACTTTGTTCCTGCTTGGTCTGTCAGTGTTCTTAATGGTTGCAATAAAGAAATTTTCAATACTGCAAAGGTTAATAGTCAAACCTCAATAATGGTGAAAAAGAGCGATGATAAAAGTTCTACTAAGCTCACTTGGGAATGGAAAATGGAGCCAAAGAAAGACACCATGCATGGAAAGGGAAATATTAAAGCACACCAGCTTTTGGAGCAGAAAGAACTAACATTGGATGCTAGTGACTATTTATGGTACATGACTAGTGTTGATATCAACGACACTTCTATTTGGAGCAATGCAACTCTTCGTGTGTACACTATGGGTCATACACTTCATGGTTATGTTAATAGGAGGTATATAGGATACCAATTTAGCCAATGGGGAAACAAATTCACTTATGAAAAAAAAATTTCTTTGAAGAATGGAACAAACATTATAACTTTGTTGAGTGCCACCGTTGGGCTTGCAAATTATGGTGCTTGGTTTGATGAGATAAAAAATGGCATACCAGGTGGTCCTGTTCAGTTGATTGGAAATAATAATGTGACTATGGATTTGTCAACCAACCCTTGGTCTTATAAGGTTGGTTTAAATGGTGAGAGAAAACATCTATATGATTTGCAACCACACGTAAGTGTGTCATGGAACAATAATTCATCTTATATTCCTATCGGAAAGCCCATGACTTGGTATAAGTCTGAGTTTAAATCTCCTTTGGGAACAAACCCTGTTGTGGTTGACCTGCAAGGATTAGGTAAAGGCCATGCCTGGGTGAATGGCCATAGCATTGGTCGTTATTGGCCTTCTATGATTACAGATGCAAATGGATGCAGCAACACATGTGATTATCGTGGGAACTATGTAAAGGAAAAATGCAACACCAATTGCGGAAGTCCATCACAAAGGTGGTACCATGTGCCAAGGTCATTCTTGAACGATCACATGAACACATTGGTTTTGTTTGAAGAAATTGGTGGAAATCCTCAAAGTGTTCAATTCCAAACCGTAACAACGGGAACTATTTGTGCTAACGTATATGAAGGTTCCCAGTTAGAACTATCATGCCAAAATGGACAAGTAATCTCACAAATACAATTTGCTAGTTTTGGAAATCCAGAAGGTCAATGTGGATCTTTTAAAATAGGTTCATGGGAAGCTACAAATAGTCAAGATGTTTTGGAAGTTGCATGCATAGGAAAAACTAATTGTGGATTTACAGTGACAAAAGAAGTGTTTGGTGTAACGCTTAGCACAATGAGCGTTAATAATAATAATAATAATAATAATATAGCTAGATTAGCCGTCCAAGTGACATGTTAAGTTAATTTTTTAAAATCATTAGATAAAATTGAATGTTATGGTGTTGCAATTGAAATTGTATAATGAATTATTTTCATTTATCTGTACTGTTACATTGATATAATTTATTTTGTTTGAATTAAATATAATTGTTCTATTTTTAATCTTTTATATAAATCACATGATCTAAACTTAAAGATACAAACTTGAGATGATAAAATTACACTCCCCAAATAAATTAACAAATAAAGATGCAAACTTAATGCAATATGAGTATGTAAACTTGAAAAATTTAACCCACGTGAAAAATTAATATATTATGATATATAAAATATATAATGTAAATTTCTATCTAGAATTGTTAAAAAATATTACATTTAAATTAAGAAATTGATAGTGAAAAATGTTAAAGTATGAAGGATAAATTAATTTATTAAAATAAAAAAAAAATGTAAGGGCATAAAAACGTTTATAAAGATACATTTAACAACTCTTGCTAAAATAAATTTAACACTTATTAGTTAATTGTAATTAATATCCTCATTAGTTAAAAAATATTTTTTGACTAAATCAACAAAATAAACAAGAGCACTAAAAATAACCATACTTCAAACAAGAATGAATCACAAAAATGAATGAAAAAAGGACAAAAAATTACTTAGTTATTATCGCTTGTTTTTGTTTAGGAATCGAGATATGACATAGATCCCTAAACACCTACTTCATTTTGATTCGCTAACACCTTCTTGGTTTATAAGCTTTATCTCCTTCCTTAGTATATAAGAGTCTTCAGTGTGAGGCCCCTTGACTTTGTTGAATTTGAACCATCTGCTAGGCTCCGGCCCCATGACATTTGGCTTAGGAGTAGGAAATTGTGAAATGTCTTGCATGTGAAGTATCTCTCACCATATCTACTCACAACGGGTGTTCAGAGGTGTGAAGATCTCTACAAACTTTCTGCTTTGCTCCAACATTGTCTTATCTCTGATGGGCGAGGTGTAGTGATTCTTCTATGACTGTTGTGAGCTATCAGAATTACTAGAGTTACATTATTTTGCATTTATAGAATTACTTTTATACATTGCTTTCCTTTCCGATTATATAACACCCCGCACATGTTTCCACCTCATCCAGTGAAGCTATGGGACTTTGGGCGAGGGATTCATTAAAATATCCCACTAGAACCCATTTTGGAATGCTCATACAAATTTTTCCTAGTTGGGGTCGGCAACCTTGATCGTAGCCTCATTAAAGAAGGCAAGGTACTTCCTCAGATTCATAAGGGATTTGACTAATGTTAAAAAGGCTAGTGGTGACTATCTTTTTGTGTCTGCATGTTGCAAACTGGTGGACTAATTTTTTACTAAGTCTTGATAGCTAGTGACAGAGAAGAAAGGTAGGCCCATGTACCATATTAGGAATGCATCTCTGAAGGTGCTAATGAGGAGCGTACATTTCAAAGAATCAGGAGCTCCAATGAATTCCATTTACATGTTGTTGGAGGCGAGATGCTCATACGAGTCGATGCGCCCATCAAACTTTGCCAACGAAAAAAAGTTTGAAATTCTATAGCACCGAAGCCTCCCATATTTAATTTGAGAGAGATTGGGGGTCTAATATTTCAACCTTTTTTGTAAGGCTAGCCTCATATTGGACTTGTTAGATATGGAGGATATTATCCTCCAAAGTATGATTCTGGCAGCGTAAGTAATCATCAACAACATACATCTCTACCACTAAGCTCTTCTCGACATCTAATTCATCGTTGGTCACAAATGTTTTCCCCCTGTTCCCCATGATGTACAGAGGGCATATACACGAGGACAACAATCTAGCTAAAAGTTATGATGGTAGCCTAGGTAAGTTTTTGGGGCCTCACAATAAATGCCAACACCACTTGCTAAAATTATAATTTACAACACCATGTGATTAAGGGTTTTCAAAGGATTTTAAGGTTTGATGTGAGGTTTAGAGTTATCTCAAGCTGGGAGGTGAGAATCTATTTATGAGATATCTGCATAATGAAATTCATCCTCCTCAACATTAGTATTTAGTTATTTAAAGATATCCCGAGGCCTGAACCTCAGATTCCCAAGAAGTAGAAATAACTTTAAGTATTATGGGGAAGGGACAATTACTTCCTTATCATATAGGAGAATGTGATAAACTTGCTCTATACTCCTTCCTCGCAACATTACGTGCTAGGGCACGTCACTTCACATTTTTCCACGCTTCAGACAAGCCCTCTAGAAAATGGATGTCATATTTGAGAAATGAGCATCACATCTGAAAAATGGATGCTTTATCCAATAAATGGGTGATCAGAAGAATGGTGTTGGTGACGTGTAACTCTGTTCACCTTCCACGTTGCCCCTTGTGAGTCTTTTGTAATTATACCAATATATATATATATATATATATATATATATATATATATATATATATATATATATATATATATATATATATATATATATATATATATATATATATATATATATATATATATATATATATATATATATATATATATATATATATATATATATATATATATATATATATATATATATATATATATATATATATATATATATATATATATATATATATATATATATATATATATATATATATATATATATATGTAATTAAAATTGATAATATAAATCTAGGTTAATATTGATTATTAAAATATTATTATATTCTTAATAATTTTTAAATAATAAAAAGTGTGTATAATTTTATCACAATGTTGATTCTATATAATTTATAAAATTAAATATATTATTAGAGATTATAAAAATATGTTTTTATTTTATTTTTAAATTATCTATAATCTTTTTCATATAAGCGTTTTTAAAATTTACATATAATATTAAACATATCCATATTTATTTTTCAAAAAAATAGCGAGCCCATCACCATATTGTGGCGAATATTTTAATTTTTTTTAATGAAAATGATACTTTATCTTCAATATCATTCCAAAACTGAAACATGACGTTGTTGAAAAAATTCTACAAATTGGTTTCAATAACTTTTTAGTAATATTTTTTTTATGTACTATATTTTCAATTTACAATTGAGTTAAATAAAAATTGATGCACATAAACTTGCTATTATATTTATTAAATATAGTAGGTATCAATATATTATATATATCTAGTTTTATATATTGTACACATCAAACACAAAACATACTTAGACCTTATCAAGCTAACAACAAACTCTTTTATCCTATTTGTCCATAATATTGCAAATACCAACCGATATTAAAAGGTTTGTGTTCAATATTTACATAGAAATTATCCATTCGTAGTGAAGTTATTATTATAATGAATTAAAATAACTGTTGTAAAAAAATAAATAAGAAAATTTGGTTACACTGGGAAATCATATTTTATGATTCATATATTTTACGATTAGTTTTAATATTCATGTGCGTTATATAAATCTCCATCACCAGAACAACTAATGAAGAATGATTTCATTATTTTTAAAGTAAGATATATTTACATCTTAATCCAACTAATAAGATAAATAAGAATAAATGTATGAGAGTTTAGTTAAAGTAATTTACCATATTTAGCGAGTACTTATCTGTTCTTACGTGCATTGTTGTTGTGACCAATTCACATAATATACAATACGAATTTAAAAATAATTATCTAATTTAAGTATTGATTAGTTATTTCCACTAAACTATGTTCATCTATATAAATATCTTGCTCAATTTTAATGTTACAATAACAAAGTAAATAATCATACATGTTTATAATGAGTTCTTTATCGTGTGCTAGCATTTTATTAATGATGCTTATTATGTTGTACTCATGTTCTGCCATAGATGTCACTTATGATTCAAATGCTCTCATCATCAATGGAGAAAGACGTCTTATTTTTTCAGGAGCAATCCATTATCCTAGAAGCACCGTGGAGATGTGGCCCGACCTTATTCAAAAAGCTAAATATGGTGGCCTGGATGCAATTGAAACTTATATATTTTGGAATCGTCACGAACCTGTTAGAGGTGAATATAATTTCTCTGAAAATTTGGATTTCATCAAGTTTTTTCAGCTTATCCAAGAAGCTGGACTATATGTCATCATGAGGATTGGCCCTTATGTATGTGCGGAATGGAACTATGGAGGGTTCCCGTTGTGGCTTCACAATATTCCAGGGATCGAGTTAAGAACCGATAATCCAATTTACAAGAACGAAATGCAAATTTTTACCACAAAAATTGTGAACATGACAAAAGAAGCAAACTTGTTTGCATCACAAGGTGGACCCATTATTCTAGCTCAAATTGAGAATGAATATGGAGATATCATGTGGAATTACAAAGATGCTGGAAAGGCATATGTAAAATGGTGTGCTCAAATGGCTCTATCACAAAATATCGGTGTTCCATGGATCATGTGTCAACAACCTGATGCTCCTCAACCTATCATAAATACTTGCAATGGATATTATTGTCGTAATTTTAAACCCAATAACCCAAAAAGTCCTAAAATGTTCACTGAAAATTGGATTGGTTGGTTTCAAAAATGGGGGGAAAGGGTTCCCCATAGAAGTGCTGAAGATTCAGCTTACTCTGTTGCACGTTTTTTTCAAGATGGTGGTGTATTAAACAATTACATCATGTACCATGGAGGAACCAACTTTGGACGCACATCAGGTGGACCGTATATAACCACGTCGTATGACTATGATGCCCCAATTGACGAGTATGGGAATTTGAACCAGCCAAAATGGGGACATCTTAAGCATCTTCATTCAGCAATAAAATTATGTGAAAATGTTCTTACAAGTTATAGTGCAAGGAACGACACGGATCTTGGTAATGGAATCACACTAACAACATACACTAATTCCACTGGAGCTAGATTTTGTTTCTTGAGTAATAATGACGCTAATAAAGATGCAAATATTGACTTACACAGTGATGGTAAATACTTTGTTCCTGCTTGGTCTGTCAGTGTTCTTAATGGTTGCAATAAAGAAATTTTCAATAC